CTCCCAAATTGGGAATTATTTATCATGCAATTACTCAATGCAACCAGATAATGATTTTCCAAAATAGATATAAGTTTTGAAAATAGTACTTAGGCTCACACTGGCCACTTATGAACTTTTAAAGCATGGTATGCTCAAATATACACTTTACTGTAAAATATGCTTCAAGACTTCTTTCACTGCAAACTCTCAACAATTGTCTAACCTCAATATTCGTCTTTTTGGGCTTAATGCTCTCAATAGCGAACGCCAATCGGAGAGGAAAGCCGATTGAGTCAGAATCTGAATTGAAATCTCACTCACAGGCCTAAACGACGATAAAACAGTCGAACGTACATGCTTATAAATCACAATTTAGCAAATCTTCATTGGCAAACACTTAGCAAGTATTCAACATGCACTTGAATTCAAAATACTCAACATAATATCATTTACTGTAATCATGCTCTGTCAACTTAATATTCTTGGCAAAATTCTCAACAAGTCATAATCGACATCTAGACATGCTTTTCTAGAAAAACTTAACAAATATTGATCATCTTTCATTATATAATTGTCATGCTTCTCAAACAAATAGCCAAGAGCCAACACTTAACATTCTCATTTACTGTAAATGCTCTCAGACAATTTCTGTAGCATTTTTCCTTACAATTTCTATCACAAAATGCTCGTTTCTACTCCGAATTCAATGAAATCAAATTCTAATCGTGCGTCGTGACGACCCCGAGTGTCCGAGCCTCAAGGGTCCGCGAGTCCCAATCCGAAACGACACGTAGCTGAGCTACAATAGCTTGGCCACTGCACAGACTTTGCCTAACGGGGCTTGTGCCAGGGCTTGAGGAGCCCCGCCGCCTGGAACTGCCAAGCGGGGGCCTAGGGCCAAGTCTCTAGCCTAGATCCGTGCCCTAGGGCCGCTCCTCCACGGGGCTTGCCAACGGCTTCTTCCTAGGGCTGTTGGCTAGACCTGTGTCTCATCTGGTGCACACTATTTTGTACACCAGTGAGATTCTCCTTCACCTGCAAGACATTTTCAGGCAAATAAACACTCCCAAATCATCAACAACACATCATAGATCAATAATAGATCACTTACTAGCTCAAACACAACATTATTCTAGCATTTCTACTCATTTCAAACACTAAAACTAGACTTCACAGAGTCTTAAAAGCTTTTGGGAGTCCATGGGGTTATACCTTTGTAGATTCCTCCTTTGAGTTGCGATTCCACCTTCTTCCCAAGCTAGCTACACCCTCCTTCACCTCCTAAACATCTCAAACAAACCATACAACACTCTTACTACTAAGTTCTCAGAGATAGAGTAGAAAGGAACTTGAAGAAATGGAAGGCTAGAGTTTGGAGAAAACTTACTGTGACTTCTCTTTGGTTTTGCAGAGCAAAATGTTTGGGGAAGCAAAGAGTGGAATCGGGAAGAAATGGGAGTCTACTATTCCATTTATATGGGTTCAAAACCCTAGGAGGATCTCATGATTGGTGGAGGGCAAAGATGTAAATTGATGATTGTTCTAAAAACATCAGACAAGGTTCTTTGGAGTAGAGTGGTTCACCATGCTTCATGAACGATGGTCTAAAATCAAGTTTTAAAATAGTTTGGGGTTGAAAATAAATTTCCCAAAAAATGATTTCTAGATGAACACTTGATTTAGGCTTCTCAGATTTCTCCCGGTCTCACTCAGAATGATTTTTTAGTTCAAAACTTGGTACGCAATGTACCCGAAAATTTAGGATTATTTAAAAGTGGCTCAAAATAATTTATTCAAACACCGATTTCCTCGCAAAATTTTTTATAGAGCCAAAAATGGCTATTTTGGAATTTCTTAAAACCAAATTTATAAAATTAAATTTTGGGTTGTCACAGACATGTCCCGTCTGGGCCAACGAGTGGCTGACATCCCTATTTGGCGGGTAGCTACGGACGGATTGTTCTCTTTCTCCTCTGTAAAATCTTTGTTAAGACCTGGACCAGTGATTTCTGATCTTCTTTTGAGTCATTGTTGGCATAAGCATCTACCCTTTAAGGTGTCCTTTCTTGCTTGGCGTGCATTACGTGGTCGATTTCCCACTGATGATGCTATGGCTAGATTCGGGCACCTTATGGTCTCCAGGTGTTGGTGTTGCACTAACCTAGTTAGGGAAACCGTTGATCACATCTTTTATACATGGGATACTGCCAGGGCTGTATGGGGATTTTTTATTGGATCACTCGGCCTGCGATTCAGTCATCGTGGTCTACGGACGCTGCTGACTGGGTGGAGGCGGGTGGTTTCACATAACTAGCTTGTTGCCTTTGTTGTTTGCAGGTTACCTTATCTCATCCTTTGGGAGTTATGGAAACACAGGAACACATGCTTGTATGGTAGAGGATCACCGAGTGTGCCTCGAGTGGTGTATGGCGTTGCCAAAGGGATGACAGAGTGTCTCTTTAGGCGGTGGCCGAGGGAGCACATTCTGTCGCCAAACTGGTCTGTCATTCTGTCCTACATAGATTCCACTGCCCCGTGGCGTGTGGTTCGTGCTATTAGATGGGATCCCCCTATGGATGGCTCTATAAAACTCAATCTTTCGTACTCTGAGTCTGTGGGTGGGACTGCTACCTTGGTGCGTAATCGGGGGGGGGGGGGGTGGTGGGGGGTGAGGATGGTGGTTGTGGTTTCTGCTCTGGCTTCGCCATTTCGGCAGTGGTCGGGTTTCGGGATATTTTCCGTGTTATGTTCCGCTGTCTTGAATGGTGCTTAGCCGAGGGTTTTAGGTATTTGGTCCTAGAATCTGTATTGCCTGAGCTTAAGGGTTATGTTGACCCCTCTGTTCCTACTCCATGGATTTTTGACTCTGAAGTGTCAAGCCTCTGGTTTCTTTGCTCCTGTGCCTTTATTTCTGTTCTTCAGTGTGTGACGCAGGGTAACGTCCCTGTGGCTGCATTGGCAGATTGGGTTAGGGATAAGGATGGGGAGTTTATTTTTCTTAATTTGTTTGACTTACCTCCGAGGGTGCGGGCTTTGGTTGTTCATGATGATGTCCCCTCAATGTTCTTTGAGGATTATGACCCACCTTGAACTGAGGTTCCTGTTTACTCTATGTTCTTATGCTTTTGATGAAAAATGAAACAGAGTTGAAAAAAAAAAGAAAAAGAAAAAAAGAGAAGAATGAGAAAAATGAAAAGAAAACAAAAAGGAAAAAGAGAATCAAAAGATTTGAAAAAAGAGAAAAGAGAAAATGGAAAGTATAAGGAAAAAAAGAGAGAAAGAGAAAAAGATAAGATAGTGCGTTTGCTGGCTGCTTGGAGGCAATGATGGCTTGGCTATATGTCGGGTCTAGCCTCAACAACGAAGGTGTCAGCGGTACAAGTGGCACCCTAATCCGGGCTGAACGGTGGCTGGGTAGGATTTATCAAATCCGTTGACCTAGTCAGGCTTGCTGCTGGCCAATAGTAGCCGAGTCCCTTCTGGGCTCCAGGTGGGGCGGGTTATATATGATGGGGGTTGCCTAGTTGTTCTTGTCTTTCCTATACTTTGCTATCTCTTTCTCTAAAATTTTCTACTTTTTTGTTTTCACAAAATTTTGTTTGGCAGTGGGATTGGGTTACTTATTGTTCTACCATGCTCCCTTTTGCTTGCTTGAATATTTCTTGGCCTCTAAGGTTTTATTGGTCCGTTGCTTCGTTTGGTTTGGCCCTTGTGGGTATTCTTTGAATAGATCATGCCTCAACGTTGGTGCAAGCAGTAAGAAATTACATCCTGGCCCGGGCTGAACGGTGGCCGGGTAGGGGTTCATCAAATCCATTGGCGGTTTGTCCAGGCTTGCTGCTGGCCCAGAGTAGCTAATCCCGTTAGGGTTCTGGTTACTGAGTTGGTGTTGTGTCCTTGTTTAGACATATGAGACTTTATCGCTATTGGCGGGCCTGCGTGCCATCTTGCTTTATTTTGGCCTATATGCCTTCTTTGTTCTATTTGGCAGTTGTTTGGTTTTTTGGGGCTACTGTCTATTTATGGATAGTCCTAGAAACAGCCGTTATACTGCCAGATTTTTGTAAAATTGGTGCATTGCAAGATGAGCATTATTAGGAATATATTGTAATAGATTTTGATATGCCAAATTGTATTTTAGAATCTCCAATTTTATTTGTTAAGTCTAGGCGTGTCATAGACCATGAAAGAAAAATTAACAAATATAGAAAAAATGAAAAATACGAAGAAGAAGAAGGAGATGTATGCATATGATATGTATACTAAAATAAGCCCACATGCCCCAACTCAAAGAAGAAGACATCTCATACGAAGAAACGAGAAGCAAACGAAATTTCATGAAGTTATCTTGAAGATCAAACATCTATGGAAAGAAAGAAGTACATCAAAAAGAATGCTATAAAAACTAATAATTTGTATAGGCGAGATGGATGAAAGTTTGATGTATAAACTATAAGGTCTCAGGTTTGAAACTCACTCTCTACAATTTTATAAGGAAAATTTAAAGGAGCCTTAAATCAGGGAGCTGAGGTTTTAATACTAAGAAGGAAAATTTAAAGGCTCCTGATTAAATAATAGAGATGCGGTTTCAAAATCAATTAAATAATAGAGTTGAAGATGAGGTTTCAAAATCAATTAAATAATAGAGTTGAAGATGAGGTTTCAAAATCAATTAAATAATAGAGTTGAAGATGAAGTTTCAAAAGAGGTTTCGAGGTTTCAAAATCAATTAAATAATAGAGTTGGAGATGAAGTTTCAAAAGAGGTTTCGAGGTTTCAAAATCAATTAAATAATAGAAGTTGGAGATGAAGTTAGAGATGCAGTTTTTAAATAATAGAAGTTGGAGATGAAGTTAGAGATGCGGTTTGCGAGTCAAAGTCTTCATAAGTCAAAGTCAAGATGAAGTATGAGATGAAGTTAGAGATGCAGTTTGCAAGTCAAAGTCAAAAGAGATGAAGTTACATCAAACTATATATAGTAAGAGCTGAAGTTTCAAAGGCTATATATATAGTAAGAGCTGAAGTTGGAGATTTAGTTTCAATCAATGATTGAATTCTCACCATCAAATGAGACCCAGATCAAGAGATCTCATTGGTCGAAAACAAACAACTTCATCAGTAGCCATACAGAGAGATTAAAATATACAGAAGATGAAAGTCCCAGAAGGCATGATCTACATCAGAATTATTTTAAGAGGCCTTCACGTGAAGACATGATCTGCATCAGAAATATTTTAAGAGTCTCTTCACATGGGCCAAGAGCTAAGCAACGGCCGAAATATCTCAAATGTCAGAGATATTATTTTTAATATGATCTTCTGAGAAAGCTACATGTCTTCTGCAAAGGCTACAAGAATTCAAATTTGAGATCTACAATTCAAATTTGATATTGTCTTTTTCCAATGGACAACTTCTCGAAACCAGCTATAAAAGGATGAAAAATGAAACATATCAAAGCACTTCCAACACAAGAAACGAACAGTACATACGAACAAGTGCTATACTCAAAAGTGAGAAAATATTCAAGTGAGATAAACACTCAGAGCTCAAAGAGAAAATATTCAAGAGTGTTTAAATTCTTCATCATTGAGAGACTTGCTGCATATTGAAGATCCATTCAAGAAGTCTCAAAGTTGGAAGCCAGTGAAAATTGTTTTTATACAAACAAGTGATACAGCAGTGTTGGAGAACACTGGACGTGATTAGTGCGGGCTTTGTGATCAAAACACTAGATCACGGGATACGTCGAAGACGGGGGGAAAGTAGCACGGAACTGTGAAATCCTGGAAAGTAGCACGGAGCTGTGAAATCTGAAGCAGCAGTGTTGGAGGCACTGGGCGTGATTAGTGTGGGCTTAGTGATCAAAGCACTAGATCACGAAAATTCATTGTATCTAGGAACCAAGAAGTGGTGGATATAGTTAATTGCTCTTGGACGATAAGAGCAAGTGGAGTAGGGGGATTACATCACCTCCGAACCACTATAAATTGTCTTGTGTCATTTACTGCTTTATTTACTTATTGCTTATCACGTGGATATACTTGACACAATCACACAACTTGTATTTATTTATTCCGCTGCGTACAAGACTCTAACAATCTAGTTAAGAGTTTTGGTTTCTCTATCGCCTCAACAATTGTTGTATTCGCGAAAACATTTAAAAGTCTATTAACACCCCCCCCCCCCTCTAGACTTTTACCACACCCCCTTTGGGACCAACAAACGTGTTTTAGCCAGCCGATAGCCTTATGACATGGGGTGACATACGTTATGTTGCCGGGCTTCCGTCTGCTACTAGTAGACCTGAAGTTTAGAGGAGGATTCTGCATCACCATTTCTGTAATTCTTTTATTATTATTTTATTTATGTTTAGACCTGGCCTATCATTTGGGCTTGCGCCCATTCTTTTATTTCTTTCATTCTTTAGACCTGGCCTGTTACTTGGGCTTGGTTCCATTCTTTTTTTAAGTTCCTCTGATTAGTATAGGCCCCTTCTTGAGGCCTCAGTATATTTTACGGTCACTTTTGGGCCATCATTTGTAAGACCTTTTAATTCCTTTGATTAATAAAGTTTATTGTGGGTTTAAAAAAAAAAATTGTTGGTCTAATCTACCTGCATTTATCCAAAAAATAAAAAAGAAAAAAAATACACCTCCCTAAATAAATCGATGTTTATATAATTGACTCAATTATTTTCTTATGTGACATAACAGCCTCAAAGTAAGGTGTTTTTTTCAAAAAATTAGTTTTATCACTTTTTTCTTTTCTTAAATTAGTTGATGTGATTAAAATAATCTCTTTTTTATTTTTAAAAAGAGATATTATAGTAAAATTATTTAAGAAAATTCTTCAAAAATATATAAAATAAAGAGTATGTATTGTGTGAGATCATCTAAAAGGAAACTTTGTTGCAAAATAGAACCAAAATAAATCAAATGCAATTTCATTGTTATTTGCTACATTATTTTCCATCATGATGAGAATTTAGGATAAAAGTGTATTGTGTATTCAATTAGACTGTAACATAAAACTGTACAAAGCATATATAGATTACAATAATAATAATGCAAGAAGAAGTACATGCATAGTATAACTCCTGAAGTCCTAATACATCTCCTCAATCACTAGGTTGAAGAGGCACAACATTGAGGAAAAACCAATCTGGTCAGCACTTTGCCCCTTAATTAGGCTGGTCCGGTGCAAATGGGATTAGTTTGAATATGGTACGGGTTTAAAGGTGTCTCCTACTGTTAGGGCCTGCTCAGAACACCTCATAGCCTGACTAAAAAAAATATTGAGCTTGTCCAGAAGAAATTCAAAACGCGGAGCTGGTAGAGGTTTGGTGAAAAAAATCTGCAATCTGATCTTTGGTAGATATAAAATTAACCTGAAACTCTGCAGATGCCACATTATCCCGCACAAAGTGATAATCAATCTCCACGTGTTTGGTCCTAGCATGGAAAACCAGGTTGGCACATAGGTAGATTGCACCAAGATTATCGCACCATAAGCGAGGTGGACAACTCGTTGGAAAACCAAGCTCACGCAGTAGAGATACAATCCAAGTAACCTCACTAGAGACATCATCAAGACCCTTAATTCAGCTTTAGTAGATGACCGAGCAACAATCATTTAGATGAGGACTTCACACAAGGAGACTCAAGTTAAATAGCTCAACACGAAAATAGGACACGAGATCCATTACAGATGCAGGATGGTCATATGACACGAGCTCGGATTGCAAGGGTACGTGATACCATTTGTGTGTGGACAGGGAAGATGGAATGGAACAAAATTTATTCCTCTACAAAGGAGAATGAAGGAGAAAGCATGACCAGCAAAGGAGAATGTCAATACTATCATATTCTTACACTTAAAGAAGGCCAATGATAACAACACCAAAAACCATATAAATGATACATCATCTCATTATTTATAACTTATGTTAGGCTAAGTTCATATGTAATTATTTTAGCATAAGTTATTTTTTGAATTTTAGACTTCCAGCACAAATAAATAGGCTAGGACAAGTTTGAGAAGACATAGTCTTCTTGTAGTTACAAGACCACTAAGTCAAACACAAAAATAGGATCATGAAACCACTAGGAAGAATTTCTCTCCTTGTGGGGCTGATTTGTGTGGTTTTCCTTGCTTGAATAAGTGTATTTAAACCCCTCTATGTCTACTTTGAGGGGCAGATTATGAGTGAAACAATTGAGTTAGCTTTTGCTTACTTCCAACTCTTGTGTTACATAGAGTTATCCATAGAAGATGTGAAGTGCATGCTGTGATTTTGTGTATGTAAGCTTTTATTTTCCTTCGTGTGATGCGAGGCTTCTATCCAAAAGAAAATCCTAAAGACACAAAGTTATTAACCCTCCAAGGGCCACGTCCCTTTAATACAAAACAACTTCCAAAACACTTTATAAAGCACCATCCATAACGCGAAGCATCCAGGCTGAGTTTTGAGCATAGAACGGAGTGGAACAAGATGAAGATTTGAAATGAATCATATCACCTTTGCTTGCGTCATACCCAAGAGACAAGGTTAGACCCAAAAACCACTGCAAACCAACTTGTGGACTATCGATCAATGGAACATCCAACCCAATCTGAGTCAGATGACGCATGGAAATCGCAGGATAACAAGGAACTCAAACACAACCCAAAATGCAATGTACCTTTCACATAATGTAGTACACATTTTAGAAGACCCCAATGCTCTACTATACGAAAATGAATAAATTGACATAGCTGATTGACTGCATAAGAAAGGTTAGGCCTGGTAATAGTCAAATATTGCAAAGCACCTGCCAGACTACGGTACTGCGTGGGATTATCATATGTCTCATCAAAGGAAGAAGTAGAACGAGCAAGCGAGGCAGGAGTATCAAGCGGTTTGTAGTCAACCATGCCAGTCTGCTTTAGGATATCACCTATATACTAGTGCTAAGAGAGGACCAGACCACCATCCACAGGAACAGTCTCTATACCAAAAAATAATCTCAGAGAACCAAGATCTCGAATCTTGAAAGTTGTTGAGAGACTCTGAAGTAAATCAAAAACCAATTTAGAATCATTCCCCATTAGTAAAGTAACATCTACATACACAAGTAAGAAAACCTGTGATCCACCAACCGAATAGTAAAATAGAGAGACATCAGTTTTCAAGGACCGAAAACCAGTAGAAAGTAAGAAATCATGGAGACGTTTTAACCACTCCCGTGGAGCCTATTTCAAGCCATATAAAGAATGTTGCAGTAGACAAACATAATCAGGGTTAGTGGAATTAAAATACTCAGGCGGCTATCGCATATACACGGTTTTAGAGAATGTCCCATTTAAAAAGGCATTATTGCACATCCAGTTGACAGACTGTCCACCCATGCGAAATAGCTAACGAAAGCAAAAGACGAACTGTGGTAAACTTAACTACAGGACTGAAGGTGTCAAAGAAGTCCTCTCTAGCTACCTGATTGAAACCTTTAGTCACCAACCGCGCCTTATAGCGCTCAACAGACTCATCAGCTTTGCGCTTGGTACGAAACACCCACTTGTAACCAATAATATTCATACCAGGCTAGGGTGGAACCATCTTCCATGTGTCATTATGAAACAACGCATTGAATTCCTGATCCATTACATCACGCCATTCCGGATAATGAACCACCTACGAATAACAAGTGGGATCCGGGAATCAGTAGAGATTACCAATGTCTGTGGTTGAGGAGCAAAAGCTCGAGTCATATGCCAAAGCATCATAGGATGTGCACGCTGTGGTGACACCGTAGCAATAGTCTGATGCCTAGTGAATCGCACTGGAATAGTCATGGGTGGCTGAAGCAGATTGGAACCAACATTTGTAATAGGGGAAACAGACAAATCCACAGGAGACTCAACACTTAAAACCACAGGACCAGTACCCCAATGCACCTCATCAGCAACACACGAGGCACCCGGTGACACCTACAAAGAGGAATCTGATGCAAAAGGAAATACACCCTCGTCAAAACAAACATTGCGATAGATA